AATTTGTGGTGCAATCTATACGGCGCCACACATGTTGTGCCTTCTACATAATGCAACCCGTGTTGTGCATTCCATGTGGAAAAAACTATGCGGTACAACCGATGCTGCGCAATCTACGTGGCGAAGCTTACGTGGCACAATTATGTTGGCAAACTTGGAATTGTGAAGTCCACTGTTCGCGCAATTATCCCACCCACCCACCCTCAGCTTGGTTTGCAAAATCCATGCGGCTGCGCCTGCATTGAATGCTTGGCGTTGGGTGGTGCATCTCTGCGGCCGCGCTCGCCCGCGCATGTTCGCGCTTGCAGCGGCCAGATATTTCGGCGCGGCTGACGCGGCCGCGGTGGCGCTGACCGCCGGGCACTCCCCAGCGGACATTTCAATGCGATTCGGTGGTTTGGGCAAGCGCGGCATCATAGCGACATCAGCAGCGGCTGGCACAATGATGAAAATAGAGATGATGGTGGCGATGATGACGATGACGACGGCAAGGCCAATGACGCCATCGGTGCGGATCACGCCGACGACGGCGTCCTCGCATCGGCGATGAAGCTTGTGGAAAGAATTCGACATTCGCGCGCGGCCGACGAGCGTGAGTGGCCCGCGCGTTGTCAATTGACAAGGATCGCGCCCCTCTCCCCGGCCCCAGCACGCGCGCAACGGCATTCGAATGACTTCGGCATGCGGCGCGAGGGGCTCGTTTGGTCGAATGTGCTGAAACGTTGAAAACCATGGCTTTCTTAAGAATTAACACGATCGCGCGCGCAAGCCTTTTCTCCCAAAACTGATGCTGCAAAACCAACTGGTTCTTTATGTGTTTAGGGCACTCGACTTGGAAATCCACACGGAGGGCAGAAGTGTTTGAAGAATTCCAGCATGCATGCGCGACGACGCGCGCGCGCACTTCGTCTTGCCATCGCATGGGATTCTCGCGACAGAACGCGCGCAAAGGCGCCCGAATGATTTCGACGCGCGCGTGCGAGAGGCACGTTTGGTCGCATTTGATGAAAAATAGACAGACTCATTGTTTTTTTTCTGGAAAATTCGCAAAAGGCGCGAGCGCAGGTGCTTTTGCTTAACACTGTTACGAATACATCGATTGTTTATGTATTCGGGACACTCGATTTAGAAGTCCATACGAAACCTATATGCTTGCTTGGATGAGTTTGGCATGCGCGCTCGACGAAGAGCGAGCGTGTTCTTCGCCCCACGTTTACAAGGGTTCTCGGAAACGGATGAGTCGGGATAAACAAGCGCGCACATAAGATCGATTGCAGCGAATGAAAGGGGGCGATAAGGGACTGTCTGGGATGGTACGAATTCACATTGAGGATTGACGAATGTGCATAATCGTACACGGAAAACAATACAACTCCTGACGTTCATATAACCCCAGGGGGACCTCTCGGAGCCCTCTTGGGCCCCCCAGGCGCTCCCGGAGGGCCCTGCTGCCCAAGAGAGCCTCTCGGAGCTCCGTGGGAGTTGTGAGGGGCCCTCTCGGGGCCCTCTTGGGCCGCTCTTGGGCCTCTCCTGGGGGCCCTCGTGGGCTCCTCTTGAGGCTGTCGGCGACAAACAGAATTCGCGGTCAAAACGTCGGCTTTGACGGCGCGAGCATCCGCCCGCTTCGGAGCCTGACTGGAGCACTCCTGGGGCCCAGGAGGGCACGAAAAGAAGGCGCAGCCTCTCACACCTCTGGCGTTCTGCCTCCTGCGTCTCTGTTGCTTTTGTTTGCCACGCGGGGCAGGAGAAGAGGCAGGGAGAAGGAGGAGGAGGAGGACGACGATGAGGGGGAGGAGGAGGTGGAGGAGGAGGAGAACGATGAGGAGGAGGAGGAGGAGGAGGAGGAGGAGGAGGAGCGAGGAGGAAGGAGGAGCGAGGAGGAGGAGGAGCGAGGGAGGGAGTTGGGGAGCCAGGCCAGAGAAGCGTGAGAAGCAACAACCTCAGACCGCCAGCGAGTCGAAAACTCGCGACGGCCCCGCTTGATTCAAACCATCGGCCTCTGGAGGCCTGGTCTGGAGCTCAAGACAATGAAATAACCGACTTGGGGTATTGGCCAAAACCGAGGGAAGGGATCATCGAGAGTTCCAGGGGCCAGCAAGCTGACAGGCCGAGCCGTCGGAGATCTGAGGCGGCAGACCGAGCCGCAACAACGTCGCGGGTAGCGCTGGCAGCATCCGCAACGCCAGCGGCAACGCCAACACCCGTAGCAGCAACAACGGCAGAGGAAGCAAAGGAAAGATGATCAAGGTGGCCCCACCAGAACTGTGAAAGGATTGCGTGGTCAACCGTGTGGCACCAATATGCCCTCCCCCTCGAAGAAGTGATGGCCCCAATACAATTTGACTTCAGAACGACCCCAGTGCGACCCTACGGCCCCAAGAGAGCACCGGGACGAACCGACGGCCTGCCGACTGAACTAAAACTACCGCGTGACCACAAAACCCTGAACAGGCCCCGAGGTGAGCCCATGACCCCGACACGACCTCAAAATTGCCCCAAGATAGCCCCGTGAACCTCGTTTTCTAATGTGACTCCGCTGTGCTTCTCCCTTCTTCCCTTGCCCTAGGCCTAGTCCGATAGGGCGGATGGGGGTGCTGGCCCTCCGCCTCCTCCTCCACCTCATCCTCCTCATCCTCATCTGCATAATATTCATCATCATCAGCAGCAGCATCAGCATCAGCATCAGCATCATCAGCATCAGCATCAGCATCAGCATCATCATCATCATCATCAGCATCATCATCATCAGCATCATCATCATCATCGTCGTCGTCATCGTCATCATCATCACCATCACCATCACCATCACCATCACCATCATCATCATCATCATCATCATCATCATCATCATCATCAGAATCAGCATCACCATGAGCATCAGCGTCAGCATCATCACCATCATCATCATCATCATCAACATCATCGACAGCATCATCATCAGCATCAACCTAATCCGCCTCCTCCTCCTTCTCCTCCTCCTCCTCCTGTCGCCCTGACCGTCGTGGTCGCCCTCCGCCTGTCCCCCCTTCCCCCCCCCCAGCCCCATACATAGCAGAAAACCGAACCCCCGACACCAACCAAATCTATCGTTTCTCTGGTCCGACGTCCTAATACGCAACGATTCATTATTTTCAAAATGAGGACCCAACACAGGAGGGTTGGCAATCAAACAACCACGCTTATGCTGCTCTCTTGTTCTCTTCATGCATGAGGCATCAGACCCACTGGACGGCGGCTCTTGTGCCTTTTTCCCACATGCAAATGGCGAGTCATCTTCTTTGCCTGGTGAACTCGCGGCTCCGCCTCCGCGACGACAGATATATCGATAGTCGGGCGTGCCGTCAGCGCCTGGAGAAGTGAAACGCTCGCTCGCTTGCGTCGTAGGACGAGCGAATAAACGCTCCGCCCGCTGCAGGCCAGCGAAGATTGATAACCATGGAAGAAAAGCTGGGTGATACAGCCTACTCGCAATGGCACAGGTCGGTTGGAGCGAAAGAATAGGGAGATTGGAAATCGGACATTGGTAATCCGATCCTGCGCGCCCCAGGCGGCACAGGTCCTCCAGCCCTCTCCATCAACTTCGGTCGAGTCAGAGCTCGGTCTGGGGATCATCACGGTACCCGAACTTAAGTGGTAGCTCCTCTGGGAAACTTGCGTGGCGCCGATCGAGCCTCGCTCGCTGTGCGCCATGGAAAAGCAAGGGGGAGCATACTAACAACGGTCAGTCCGAGCCTCTCGGAAGGCCGCTCTCACCATTTTTTGGAAACGGGGCAACGATTGAAGTAATACCATTGCGCAGAGTCGCAAAGACAACTCGCCCCCCTTGCACACATCGGGCCGAAATGCTCTGTGCTCCCGCAAGGCAATTGGGCACTCCGACTTGCGACAACCGCTGTGACTGAACTCAGGGACGGGAAACTCTTCAAGCGAACACGTGCCCGCAAAAGTGGTCCCTCGCGAGGAGCCGCGCGTCCCAACTGCGCGGCCACGCCCCCCATACCGCGACTGGCCGCTCCCAGCAGTCAGCCAGCCTCTCGTGAGAGGACGATTCGGAACTCCAGGGTGGCGCGTCGTGCAACTTAACCCCGATTCCCAGGCAGTGGCAGGACCGCGCCTGGGCCTTCGCCCCTGGATAGAAGGCGGAGGGCCATGGAAAGGAACGAGCTGTCAAAGCAGCTCTATCAGAAAGACACGTCAGCCGAAAGCAAGAGCCCATCTTGAACAAGACGGCAATGGAACAGAACTCCAATGGATCAGGTGAAACGGAAAGTTAAATGCAATGATGGCTGACATAATGCGTCCGCATCAAGCGGCCAGGGTACTCAGCAAAGGGTCGCTACAGAAAAACGTGCCTAGCGTGCTGACATGACAGATGGATCAGGTTCGTTCTCTCATTCAGTCCACCACCAAGCTCAACACAGTCAGTGAACGGCATCTGTCAAAGGCTCCTGGTGCTCCCACGATGATGAGGGCACGAAGGCCTCGCTGAGCTCAGCCCCACCAGCGGCAAACGGCATCTTATCATGCCTCTCTTCGGGTTGATTCGCGCGGCCCTGGATGGAAAACGCGTTGGGTTTCCCTTGCCATCCCTCGGACGTCCCTTCCCCGTGCATCTTTCGGATTCGTGCGTGTATTTTTTTCGCTAGATGACTCACATGCTCCTCGATGGTCCTTGCCGAGAAAAACAGGCACACGTCCGAGCGATACCAAGTTCATCTAAAATGGCCACGCAGGTCAGACAACCAAGCGCGCGGTCTCCAAGCTGGCTCCATGAAACGTTCAGCCGCTGATGTGTGAAACCGGGCGGGCGACGAGCTGGAGGCAGACGGAGGAGAAGGAGAGGGAGCAGAGGCAAAAGACGGCGGGACAAGATGTGGGCATGCACACCCTGCGCTCCAGAGCCCATCCCTCGCCATCGCTCGGACGTCCATTCCCCGTGTATGTTTCGGTTTCGTGCATTGTTCTTGTTGGCTCGATGATCCCAGGTACTCCTCGATGATCCTGGCCGAGAAAAATGCACACGTCCGAGCGATGCCAAGATCCACGACGGGGACAAGCATGCTAGCATGCTCACCAGCACCTGACCAGCCCAGGCCAGTGTCCAGCTGGTCGGACGTGCTGACAGTGCTCGAGGGGTGCCCAAGAAGTAGCTGGGCGTGCCCGAAGGTAGGAAGGACACCGGCGGGGCGGACCCGTCGGCTGTGGAACGCAGACTGTGTTCTCGTCTGCCAGGCCAAGGGTTGACCGCGCGCACTATGGGGCAGGGGGAGGGGGGAAGGCTTCTTAGAAGCAGGCTGCTCCTTAGAAGGCGCTGGCCATACACCTACAGACAAGGCCCGCGCCTTTTAAGGAGAAGCCTCCTTCTAAAAAGCCTTCCCCCTCACCCTGCCCCCTCTGCGCGTGGCCGAAAGGAGGCGGCCCGCACATTCGCCGCACACGCCTCCCCGCCCTGACCTCGGCCCCAGAGTAGTTAGGTCGCGCTGGCCCTCCTGCAGGCGGAATTTCTGATAGAAACGTAACAAATAGAAAAACAGACTCCCAAATGATATATTTGCACTATAACAAGTTATAATATAACAAACAAACAAACAAACAAACAAACAAACAAACAAACAAACAAATAAACAAGCAAGCAAGCAAGCAAGCAAACAAACAAACAAACAAACCCAAAAGTCCCCATACAAGTGTTCTACTATTCCTTAATATTCCTCCTGTAAGGGGACGTGCCCGACGTAACCCCAGAATTCAAAAACCAACCGCGCGGGGCGACGTCCAGGGACGGCGCGCGCCCGAGCGTGCTGAAACTGCCCCTGTGGACAAGAGTCCTGCGAAACGGCCCAGCAGCAGCGGCGACATCGCTCAGCGCAGCGACGAGCGGCGGCGCCATCTCGGCGGTGAGCGAGGGGGGGAAGCGAGCAGAGGCGGGCCTTCTCAGAAGGCTCGGCATTCCCCAAGCCTTCTGAGCAGTTTTTCCCCAATCAGTGCTTGCACTGAAGGGGTCCTAGCGGATATTGAAAGATTTGGCGAAAATTTCCCGCCGATTTTGGTAGCCGGCTGGGTTCCCGGGTTCCTGGTTCTGGGTTCCCGAGTTCCTGGCCGATTTCGGTGGGTTCCGGGTTCCCAGGCCCCCGGGTTCCCAGGTTCCCTGTCGATGTGTCTCTTCGAGCCCTACGGCGAGCATGCGGCCAGGCATGGTACCTGCCAAAGCTTTCAAACCATCCACTGATTGGGAATTTCTCTGGTGTAATCTAGCAGGCCTTCCCCGGAGACATAGGCAAAACCTCTCATTGGACCAGGAGGCCTTCCAAGAAGCCCTGGCGCCTGCTGAGAAGACCTTCTCCCTCTCACCTCCCCCCCTCGCTCTCGCCGCCGAAAGCACCGCTCGGCGCTGCGGCGACGGGCACACGGCGAGCCCACTCTCGGCTCGGCTCTCAAGCGCGACTGGGATGGCGTGCCGCCACTGTGCGGCCCGCGAGTTACGCGTTGATTTTGCGTGAGCTGCTGCAGGTGTGCAGGCTAGGGAAACGAACTCTATACATCCACGCTTTCTCGAGCAGGGACCGACCGTCCTGGCATTCCTATAAGCCTACCACGACATGTTCTTAGAACCCCACAATGTTCTAATAACAAAAACAATGTTCTTACAACATAAGCCCGATGTGTTAAAACAGGACAGTCTCAGCAAGAAATGATCTTAGAACATTTCGTGCAGACCACACAAGGTTCTTTAAAACATTAGTTGGTGGGCCTAGTGTATATATTTGTTCGATGTTTCCCCAGGAGAACGGGGAACAAAAGTACACACCACACCACCCCGACGTTCTCCACGACCCTTAAAAGCCCTGGGATTGAAAAACAGCACACCATTGGTAATGTATGCGGTCCAGTTTCGGACAGGTATGCATGAATCGCCCTTGCGCCGAGCATCGCTGCCACTGCAGCTCGTGATTGCACATGTGTTTTGTGCCGCAGCTCTTTTTGTTCATCGCACTTGAACCAGCACGCTCACAATCCCATCCCCTCGACTCCCGCTGTGGACGACGATCAAATGGAGAGGAGCCATGTTGTCAAATAATTTCCAGATATCTAAAACATGTTTCAACATGTCTTAAACATGCAAAAACATGTTTCAAAGACGTTTCCAAATCAGAGCTTGCCTCTGTAAGGGTCCTAGCGGATTTTTATGTGTAGGTGACCTACGTCGCCGACTTCGGTGGCCGGGCCCGGGTGCCCGGATGCCCGGGGGTGCCCGGAGGTGCCCCGGGGTGCCCGGAGGTGCCCAGGGGTGCCCAGAGGTGCCCAGAGGTGCCCCTGGTTGCCCAGGTGCCCAGGTGCCCGGGTGCTCTATCGCCTTATAGTCCTTTAGCCCAATAGCCCATATAGCCCTATAGCCCATATAGCCCTATAGCTCTGTAGCCCTCTAGCCCTATAGCCCTATAGCCCTACAGCCCTATAGCCCTATAACCTTATAGCTCTATAGCCCTATAGCCCTATAGCCCTATAGCCCATATAGCCCATATAGCCCATACAGCCCTATAGCCCTATAGCCCTATAGCCCAATAGCCCAATAGCCCAATAGCCCAGATTGCCCTATAGCCCTATAGCCCTATAGCCAACTAGACCTATTGCCCTACGGCCCTATAGCCCTACAGCCCTATAGCTCTATAGCCCTATAGCCCTAAGAAATTTCTGATTGGGCTTGTCCTCTGGTATCATTCAGAACGTGTGTCCTACATTATGATCACATGTTTAATTCAACGATAGGATTGTTAGGATGTCCATCGCTGTGGCATCCCCTTGCCTCCCGCCTCGCAGAGCCTGCCTTCGCCTCCCGCCCCCCGCGCGCCCAGGAGTACAGGTCCCACGCCGCAAGGCAGGGGAGCGCCCGCCCCGCAGAGCGCTGCACCAGCCTCCCGGCCTCAGAGGCCAACGACGGGAGGCGAAGGCGCTGGACTTAGGTCGGGCATGTCCCCCTACAGGCGGATCTGGAAAGAAAAATCAAAAATATTCACAACGAATACAAAAAAATACTCAAGAAATGCTCCCCAAAAGTTAGTCCCCAGGCTATGTTTGTACTATTTCTGAATATTCCTCCTGTACAGGGACACGCCCGACTTAAAACTCTGGACCCCCCAACCTGGCGCGCGGAGCGCGCCAGGGGCAACGCCAGAGGCGCCGGCAGGGGCTCCAGCGCCGATCCAAGAAATCCGCGCGGACCTCCCCCGGCGTATGTTCATACAGTCTGTTGTTCTGCACCGACCTCGTGGCCTCAGGGGGCAACGACGGGAGGCAAAGGCGCTGGACTTGGGTCGGGCATGCCCCCCTACAGGCGGATTTTGGACGAAAAAACAGAATTACCCTGGCGACGTACCCAACCCCTGCGCAATGCGGGGCATGAGTAGCTTGGGGGACGTTATACGGAAGTGATGACGTGACATGGGCTCATACATTTCTGCGAGCGGCATTCGTGAGGCTCGCAGCTCTTCAAGAATTGCGAGGTCCCGCTCAGATCTGCGCGGCGCCTCACTCCGCTGGACCCACCAGCAGACCTCGAAAGTGGCGACAGTTTCGCCGATCGCAGCCCCCCAGGGACGGCGAGGTCCCGCTCAGATCTGCGCGGTGCCTCACTCCGCTGGACCCACCAGCAGCCCTCGAAAGTGGCGACAATTTCGCAGATCGCAGCCCCCCAGGGACGGCGAGGTCCCGCTCAGATCCGCGCGGTGCCTCACTCCGCTGGACCCACCAGCAGCCCTCGAAAGTGACGACAAATTCGCAGATCGCAGCCCCCCAGGGACGGCGAGGCCCCGTTCAGATCTGCGCGGTGCCTCACTCCGCTGGACCCACCAGCAGACCTCGAAAGTGGCGACAATTTCGCAGATCGCAGCCCCTCAGGGACGGCGAGGTCCCGCTCAGATCTGCGCGGTGCCTCACTGCCTCACTCCGCTGGACCCACCAGCAGCCCTCGAAAGTGGCGACAGGTTCGCAGATCGCAGCCCCCCAAGGACAGCGAGCAGCCCTCGAAAGTGGCGACAATTTCGCAGATCGCAGCCCCCCAGGGACGGCGAGGTCCCGCTCAGATCTGCGTGGTGCCTCACTGCCTCACTCCGCTGGACCCACCAGCAGCCCTCGAAAGTGGCGACAGTTTCGCAGATCGCAGCCCCCCAGGGACGGCGAGGTCCCGCTCAGATCTGCGCGGTGCCTCACTCCGCTGGACCCACCAGCAGCCCTCGAAAGTGGCGACAGTTTCGCAGATCGCAGCCCCCCAGGACGGCGAGGTCCCGCTCAGATCTGCGCGGTGCCTCACTCCGCTGGACCCACCAGCAGCCCTCGAAAGTGGCGACAATTTCGCAGATCGCAGCCCCCCTGGGAGGGCGAGGTCCCGCTCAGATCTGCGCGGTGCCTCACTCCGCTGGACTCACCAGCAGCCCTCGGAAGTGGCGACAAGGTCGCAAATCGCAGCCCCCCAGGGACGGCGAGGTCCCGCTCTGATCCGCGCGGTGCCTCACTCCGCTGGACCCACCAGCAGCCCTCGAAAGTGGCGACAGTTTCGCAGATCGCAGCCCCCCAGGGACGGCGAGGCCCCGCTCTGATCCGCGCCGTGCCTCGCTCAGCTGGACCCACTAGCAGCCCTCGAAAGTGGCGACAATTTCGCAGATCGCAGCCCCCCAAGGACAGCGAGGTCCCGCTCAGATCCGCGCAGTGCCTCACTCCGCTGGACCCACCAGCAGCCCTCGAAAGTGGCGACGGTTTCGCAGATCGCAGCCCCCCAGGGACGGCGAGGTCCCGCTCAGATCTGCGCGGTGCCTCACTCCGCTGGACCCACCAGCAGCCCTCGAAAGTGACGACAAGGTCGCAAATCGCAGCCCCCCAGGGACGACGAGGTCCCGCTCAGATCCGCGCTGTGCCTCATTCCGCTGGACCCACCAGCAGCCCTCGAAAGTGGCGAGAGTTTCGCAGATCGCAGCCCCCCAGGGACGGCGAGGCCCCGCTCAGATCTGCGCGGTGCCTCACTCCGCTGGACCCACCAGCAGCCCTCGAAAGTGGCGACAATTTCGCAGATCGCAGCCCCCCAGGGACGATGAGGTCCCGCTCAGATCTGCGCGGTGCCTCACTCCGCTGGACCCACCAGCAGCACTCGAAAATGGCGACGGTTTCGCAGATCGCAGCCTCCCTGGGACGGCGAGGTCCCGCTCTGATCTGCGCGGTGCCTCACTCCGCTGGACTCACCAGCAGCCCTCGGAAGTGGCGCAAATCGCAGTCCCCCAGGGACGGCGAGGTCCCGCTCTGATCCGCGCGGTGCCTCACTCCGCTGGACCCACCAGCAGCCATCGAAAGTGGCGACAATTTCGCAGATCGCAGCCCCCCAGGGACGGCGAGGCCCCGCTCTGATCCGCGCTGTGCCTCACTCAGCTGGACCCACCGGCAGCCCTCGAAAGTGACGACAGTTTCGCAGATCGCAGCCCCCCAGGGACGGCGAGGTCCCGTTCAGATCTGCGCGGTGCCTCACTCCGCTGGACCCACCAGCAGCCCTCGGAAGTGGCGACGGTTTCGCAGATCGCAGCCCCCCAGGGGCGGCGAGGTCCCACTCAGATCTGCGCGGTGCCTCACTGCCTCACTCCGATGGACCCACCAGCAGCCCTCGAAAGTGGCGACAGGTTCGCAGATCGCAGCCCCCCAAGGACAGCGAGCAGCCCTCGAAAGTGGCGACAATTTCGCCGATCGCAGCCCCCCAGGGACGGCGAGGTCCCGCTCAGATCTGCGCGGTGCCTCACTGCCTCACTCCGCTGGACCCACCAGCAGCCCTCGAAAGAGGCGACGGTTTCGCAGACCGCAGCCCCCCAGGGACGGCGAGGCCCCGCTCTGATCCGCGCTGTGCCTCAGTCAGCTGGACCCACCAGCAGCCCTCGAAAGTGGCGACGGTTTCGCCAATCGCAGCCCCCCAGGGACGGCGAGGTCCCGCTCAGATCTGCGCGGTGCCTCACTCCGCTGGACCCACCAGCAGCCCTCGAAAGTGGCGACGGTTTCGCAAATCGCAGCCCCCCAGGGACGGCGAGGTCCCGCTCAGATCTGCGCGGTGCCTCACTCCGCTGGACCCACCAGCAGCCCTCGAAAGTGACGACAATTTCGCAGATCGCAGCCCCCCAGGGACGGCGAGGTCCCGCTCAGATCTGCGCGGTGCCTCATTCCGCTGGACCCACCAGCAGCCCTCGAAAGTGGCGACGGTTTCGCAGATCGCAGCCCCCCAGGGACGGCGAGGTCCCGCTCTGATCCGCGCGGTGCCTCACTCCGCTGGACCCACCAGCAGCCCTCGAAAGTGGCGACAATTTCGCAGATCGCAGCCCCACAGCGACGGCGAGGTCCCGCTCAGATCTGCGCGGTGCCTCACTCCGCTGGACCCACCAGCAGCCCTCTGTGATGGAGTTCCATTTCGACAGATATAGGTTTAGCATGTAGGTCTTTCTACAGAGAGCGGGAGCTTGGTTTCATTCCCTTGCCGGGTTGGCTCAAGGTATAAAGGCATCTGCTTTATCCTGCTGCTGCCAC